AATTCGTGAAGCATTGTTACTAAAATTGCTCAACGATTCACGATAAAAGGATCACGAATCTATTGAGTAAAGCATCTCCGATTGATCAACAAACAAGTCATCGTCAAGAAGAGGACGATTTGTCAAGAGATGAGTTGCCACCTCCTGAGAGCATACTAGATGTGATGAAGAGCCTCTTCTTATTGTGCAGACCTGAGTATGAAGCTCCCTAACACGTGCCCCACCTCCATCTAGCTCCTCTCTATCGGGTGACAGCCGGTAGAGAGCCGCAAAGTTACCGTTTTTTAACTCCGTCAGATGATAGCCACTAAAGATAATTTGACGACCCATTTCATTGATCTCTAGACTTTGTAAGGAGATCTAGAGATTGCCCACGTCGTCCTTGTCCAATGAGAGCTTTCGAGGCTATGGACACTACATGACGATCCTCTCGGACACTTAGGATTTTAGTGCATCGTCGACGCATCGCCACCGTGATGTCAGAACACTATTTTCTTGCTTTCAACTTACTTTCGACTTCATTTAGTGATAATTTGTGTGATTTAAATTTACCAAGATATATTTCATTCAATTACGATTCTTTCATTTTTTACATATTTTAAATTTTATCAATTAATTTGTCTGTAATCACTTACGTAAGAATCATCGAGCAGACCTCTATTTTCACTCAATTCACTTCGTCAGGTGCTGATGTCATCTTGACGTCTACACCCTTATTTTTTTTTTTTGTGAATTTTAAATATATTTCTTTTTCATTTCCTCGTATACAATTTATAAAAGATATTATTCTTTGAAGAAAATTTTGAATAATTACCAGATATTATATTACATCCTTGTGATCGACCTAAAAAATTATCATTATTTTTGGAAGTTTTATTGAATTATAATGATATATTTTCAGAAATACTTCTAAATATCTGAAAATTTATTTTTTTCTAGTTTAATAAATTTTAAATTTGCATGATTTACTATACAATGACTAAGTCATGTCAAATTTTGGTGCCATTGCTAAGGATGTATTGCATAATATTTAGTATTTTTCTATTTTTCTCTTAGAGTACACAAAAAGAAATTAACTCTTGTTTTATTTTCTTCTTGCTGAATTTTTTTTTTTAAAAAAAAAGGGAATGAAGAGAAGTAAGGCAAGGACTAGAGCATATAAAAGGAGGGTAACAATTACTAAAATTTTTCCCTCAAATTTATTGATTTTTATGCATGGTAGAAGATCTTTGCATCTAAGGCTAGAATTTTCTTTTATTATTTTATTCAAAATTAAAAATATAAAAGAAAATTAATTTTGATGGATCCTAATGGAAGTACAAGTCAAATTGAGAACAATCCTATGGCCATGAAAAATCATTATATCCTTGATTCATTTCAAAGAGCATCTAATATTAGAGTCCTATTAGCACCCACTGTTAAATTTGAAATAAGTCTAGGAATTTTTTAAATGCTTCCTAATTTTCATAGATTGCCTTTAGAAGAACCTCATCAACACCTAAAAATTTTTCATGTGGTTTGTGATTTAGTTAATCTCCCTTAAGTTACACGAGAAATTATTAAGATGAAATTATTTTCTCATACACTTAAGGACAAAGCTAATCATTGACTATTCATATTAGATAGAGAATTAACTAGCTAAAAAAATATAGAACAGGCCTTTCTTCGAAAATTTTATCCCTTAACAAAAACTCAAAATATGAGAAAACATATATAGAGTTTTTCTCAAAGACCAAGAAAAACTTTACATGAGACATGGCAAAAATTTAAAGATTTACTTAGAAAGTGTCCTCATTATGCTATACCCAAGTGGCAGCTCAATAGAATTTTTATGATGGATTATTAGAACAACATAGAAATATAGTTGATGCTATATGTGGAGGAACTTTTGTGGAGAAAACCTCTAATGAGATTTATAGTCTTTATGAGAATTTAAGTGAAAATTCTACAGATCAAGCCTCTTTTGAATTATATGACAAGGTTAAGAAGAGAGAAATTTATGAATTACATGATGATGATGATTCTAAATGTAGAAATGAGGTTAATGAGATTAATCAAAGATTAGAAAAACTTGATTTACTTATTGACAATATTAGAAAATCTCTTAACCCTCAATTTAATTTAAATAGTACATGTCCTATGTATGGTGAAAATGATTATTTTCAATTTCAATGTTATAATTTCGATCAATCATTTTACCTTATGTAAGAACAAATGCAAGTAGCTTACGATTTTAATAGAAATAGGAAAAAAATTTCAAATTCTTATAATCCTAATTGGAAGAATAATGTTTCATGTAGAGACCCAAATAATATTCAAAATTTAGAAGCACTTAGACTCAATTCAAACTTTGAATTTTATCTAAAATAAGAAAATAAATTTCAAAAAAATCAGTCCTCTCAAACCCAACTTGATACTATGAAAATGATGCAGCAAATGAGCAAAATGATGTAACAAATTATGAATCAAATGATACTGCACCAGAAATAAATTATAGAGGCTCTTGGGAATAAGAGAGAAGAGGGACAACTATCTAGTCAGCCCATAGAAAATCTAGAGAACCGCCCAACAATAAGATTTCAGCAAAGAGAGTCTAATAGCATAAATCTAGGAAAAAACCCACAAAATGAAAATGTTAGGACAGTGAATGTATTAAGGAGTGGTAAGATCTTACGTAATCCTTATCCCTAAACATTAGAAGAAAAGAAAAACGTGGACAATCCAAAACAAATTCAAATAGGAGTAGAAGAGGATTTTATAAATTCTACCAAAGAAATTTCCAAAGGACACCATTTCATTTCCTCAAGCTGTAAAGCCGAGACAAAGAAAGAAAAAGAAACACAATGAACAAATAAAGAAATTTTTACAAGATATGCAAATTAGTCTTCTTTTACTCACCACCATTGAACGTATTCTTGAATATGCTAGAGTTTTGAAAGAAATGTGTACACTAAAAAGGGCACTTAGAATAGAAAAATTATCTATCCATACTAGTGCTTTATTGTTAAATTAATTAGCATATAAATTGAGAGATATGGGTGCTCCTTTAATTTTGTTTGATATTAGTGGATCTATTTTTCATAATGTATTACTTGACATTAGTGCTAGTATTAATTTATTACCTGTAAGTCTTTCTGATAAATTTAATATTATTGATCTTAAACCTTCTACTATTATCTTATAATTTATTGATAGATACATAAAATATCCTAAAAGTATTTTAGAAAATGTGATAGTGATAGTTAAAGGGTGTAAATTTCAAGTTGATTTTGTAGTGCTAGAAATAAAGTTTAATGGACATTTTTATGATCAACCAATCATTCTAAGGAGATCATTTTTGCATATAGCAAAGATGAATATTGATTTTTTCACAAGTATTGTGAAAATTTCATTTGGAGATCAATCAGTAGAAATTAAAATTTTTGAGGTATCAAATGATCTTAAGAAATCCCAAGTATATGATTGTCATACCATAGATCTTCTAGATAATTTTGATGATTCAGATGTTATTGATGATTGTGTGCTGGAAGAATTAGAGGAAATAGAGAATATAAATTTGAGAAAAAAGAAAGAAGAAGATTATTTGAATTTAGAGTTGAAGCCTCTTCCCTCTAGTTTAAAATATATATTTTTGGAGGAAAATAATATATTTTTTATTATTATTATAGCTGATTTGAGTGATGAAGAGGAAGAAGAATTATTAGATGTACTTTGAAAAAATAAGAAGGCTATGGGTTGAAAAATGAACTATCGAAAGGGCATTGATATGAGTGTATGTATGCATAGTATATATCTAGAGGAGGGGGCTAGAACTAGTAGGGAACCACAACGAAGGTTAAATCCTAACATGATGGAAATTGTAAAAAAAAAAATGTTAAAGTAGTTAGTTGCTGATATTATTTATCCTATTTCAAATAGCAAATAGATTAGTCCTACACAAGTCGTACCAAAAAAAATCAAGGATCACAATTATAAAAAATAAAAATACGGATGAAATACAAATAAAATTTACTAGTTAGAGGGTTTGCATTGATTATAAAAAAATAAATTCAGTTACTAGAAAAGATTATTTTCTCCTACCATTTACTAATCAAATTCTAGAAATATTAGCTAGAAAAAACTTTTTTTGTTTTCTAGATGGATACTCTAGTTATAATCAAATTTATATAAACCTTTTAGATCAAGAAAAAATAAATTTCACTTGTCAATTTTATACTTTTATTTTTAACATCATGCCTTTTGGTCTGTGTAATACTCCAACCACATTTCAAAGATGTATGTTGTTTATTTTTTCTAATATGACTGAAAAATACATGAAAATTTTTATAGATGATTTTTCTATTTTTGATGAATCATTTGATGAATGCTTAAATCATTTACAGCATATACTTGAAAAATGCATAAACAAAAAATAATTTTGAGTTAGGAGAAATCATATTTTATAATTATAAAGGGAGTTATGTTGGGTCATATTGTGAGTGAAAAGGGTTTGAGGTGGATAGAGCAAAAATTAATATTATATCTAAAATAAAATCTCTAAATTTAATAAAATACATTAGATTTTTCTTGGGTCATGTAGGTTATTATAAAAAAATTATTCAAGATTTTTCGAAAATTAAATAATTCCAAAAAATAACCTATTAACTAGAAATTATAAATATAATTAATTAATTTGTCATCTTCTATCACATTGAAAATTCATATAAAATTAATTACTCTTTCAATTGACATATTTTTTAGAATTTATAATTTAAAATTTTGTTGAACTTTCTTAACAACAACAAAAAATAGTCAAAGAGCTCTTGATGTAGTCAAACAAAAAATAGCATGGGCCATGTCAAAGACAACAATGGTGCCATCCATGCATCCAACATAAGACCTTAAATATTCAGTTATAATTCAACCCAACGTAGAGTTAATCAGCTGCGTCAAATGAATGAGATCACCAAGGGCTCTGTAGTGGAAGAAGTTGAATGTCCACTGATAGTGACGTCTATTACTCAATCAATCTGACCAACCAGCTCGATGCCGTGGGGAAAGTCCCTACAGTGCGTCACATAGGAGATCTCCTTTCCCGAGTCGGAGAGCCACTTGCAGGACTCGCAATCATACCATGGCAGCGAGTGGAAGCAAGGGTATATGGACGTATCCCTCACGCAAGAGGGTTCCGGCATCCTGCCGCTATAGGAGCTTTTAAGAATCCAGGGTCGTATACCAGCGGGCCCATGTGCAATGTACCCGAACGCTGACTCAGCACTCGTCACAAGAACGTCGGCAAAGCAGAGGAGATAAATCTCTGCCCATGCCTTAAGGTCGTGGTTCTCCAATTCCATCTGCTGCCATTCCTCGTGACTTGGCTGGTGGATGCTTACTAGGACACCACCCTTGCTGGGATGCTCGCAATACATATTCCTAGTTCGGTCAGAGAATTGGGAGTGAAGGGTGGTGATAAGAACGACCTTGGAATTGTTTAGGTTGGCAGAGACGACTGGCCTGTCCAAGGCTACTGGTGGCAGCAGCCCTTCGCTGAGAGTGCAGTTTATGACCTGATCCACTACCTGGTCTAGAGGTGACTGTTCCTTGTTGAATGTTCTGATCTGGATCCCCAATTACTCTAATGGAGTCAACATGAGGGCTCATTCCTTTAGGTGGACCCACAAGGAGGAAGAAGAAGGAGAGGCCATGTCACCCATGCAGCCCTTCTCCCCTAAGGACGGCGTCTCTCCCTCCAGTAGACACCATTTGGCATCCTTTGGGAGGGGACGCCTCTAACTACCTTCCTCTGTTTCCTATAAATACTTAAACTAAAGAATATTAGAAGAGGAAGTAAATTTAGAATCAAGAAGATTCGTGTTATCACTCTCACCACCTAGATTAGGGGTTCCTTCTCCTTCATTCGCCTCTTTGTTTAGGAGTTCCTATTCTCTTTCGCTCGCCTCTTGGATTATGGGTATCTTCTTCTTGTCACCCTCTTGGATTAGGGGACCTCTTCCCTTCTCTTCTCCCACGCCGTCTTTCCATCTCGTCGTCATCTGCTCGCCCACGTTCCGCCTCCTAGCCGTCAGGCCTGCCTTCTAGTCATCTTTGGGAGGGGACGCCCCGTCGCCATCGTTCTGCCTTCTAGCCATCCGGCCTGTCACCAAACCCACCTTTCGTTCCTCTCCAACTGTCACCGCTATTCTGCCTCTTCACCACCCGACCCGTCGCTGCCGTTCCGCCTCCTCACCATCTGACCCCTTGCCGCCATTCTGCCTCCTTGCCGTGCGCCCCATCGCCATCGTCCCGGCTCCTCGCCGTCCACCCTGTCGCCGCCGTTCCACCTCCTCGCCATTCGCCCCATCGCCAGCCTGCCGTCACCACTAGACCCCTTCCCCCTTTAGTCTCATCGCAAAAGCCTCTTCCCTTCTCTTACTGTCACCACCTACCGCCTTTAGCCTCCCGTCCCGACGAGACCGCTCTCTCTCTCTCTACCGGCGAAACTCTCTCATTTCGCCCCTTTTTCTCCCTCCCCCCTTTAGTCAATTTAAATTCACCCTCGGTTCTCGTCCTCATGAGAACCTTCTTTCTTCTATCTTCTGCCGTCGCCATGTACCCCCTCATTTTATCTCTCTCTCTCTCTCTCTCCCGCTGACGCCTTCTCATTTAGACCCCTTTTCTCTCTCCACCCTTTTTTTTTCTTTTTATCATTATTTTATTATTTCACCTCACTTTTGGACCCCATTTATAACTTTCGGCCTAAATAGTCCATTCACTTCAAACCACAGCATTCCACTCCTTGGTGCGAACCACTCAGTCTGAACCTTAGAAAATCACTGACAAAGCTCGTGGATCTGAAGCCACAAGAATCAAAAAAATCAATCAAAATCTCCATTGCAAAGGTGTGTTGATTATCAAACTTTCTGTGAAGTTGGTCATTATTTTAAATCCTTGCTCTTAGAATTTGTGAGATTCATAAGGTAGCCACCCTTGTTAAAGATTGGTGGTCCAAATCCTGATTGTTTGACTCTTAGAATTAGATAACCAATAGGTAATTAATATTCTTAATTCTCCTAAAATTGCAGGATCATCCGGACATTAAATTCTCATCTCTTGTGTCGCTCTTTTTTAAGATCTATTTTGGGCCCTTTTGTCTTGCATCATTCTCCCTAATTGAGAGAAAGGAGTGGTAGTCCCTGGTAATCATCCCCCAGACGGTATCGGAGGGATGAAAGGTACCTGCTCAGATGGTGGAAAACAGTCTCCTTGTCTGGGAACAGCCGACTGAGCTCCGGTTCGAGCATTCGGTTCAAGAACAGCGCCGGCACGAAGTAGTTGTCCCCACTAAGCACCATCCATGGTATCCTGACCAGGAACTCCTGGTCAGACTCGAGTAAAAATCGTTTGTCATTGCCATCGTATCGATAAGTTATGGGGACGTAGATGAAGGGGAGGGGAGGCCCCGTCACGATGCCACTGCTATGGATGATAATGTTACCGTACCTCAGCATTCTGCCGTAGCTCTGGTTGTTCTTCGTCGCAAGACTTGGAAATCGACGGGAAAGCTAGTGGCCACGAGCCACGTGGCATCAGGGAAGGTGAGGCAGGCGATCACGAGCCAGACCGTCGCCAGCGTATTGACTCTTTTCGCAAGGCTGCTCGATTGGATTCTCCGCCATACGTCGCATCGACGTCTTCGTCGAGCTCAGCAACAGAGTCAGAGGATTGCCGATTTCCACCCGACTTCGTAATCTGCGTTGTCAAATCCATGACGAAGAGAAAGAGGAGACAAAAGCAGAAGTGGAAGGAAGCCAAGGGCGAGACGAGTGAGAGGTCGTATCCAGCGGGGTGTCCCCTGTGGTGCAGCTGCTGGTAGATATGTTCTCTATGCCTCGCTATTAGGGAACGGTTAAGAGGGAAGGGGGATTATCGAGAATCGAAGTCGTAGGCCAGATCCGATCATAAAGGTTCCCATTAACATCACGTGTCAATCACGTTTTTCGTTGGGATTACTGTAAATAATCCTCTTGAAGTCAATCAAAAGCGGCGAAGCACATGGGGAAGGGGAAGGCGTTGTCTTTTCTGTTTTGTGTGATAGCGTACCGCATCCGACGTGATGAACATACGTGGCACGTTGGTTAGAATCATTGGGTATGACATGAAGGACGCACGCGCGCCTCTTTGGAACAGAACGGTATGTGAAGAATACATAGCAAGTTGACTGACAGCTGAGACGATGACAAGACATTTAACAGTTGACTGTTAAAGAAGTCATTCGCACCTCTTAAGTTCCAAATACTACTCTGAAATGATTGACAGCTGTGACGATGACAATACATGAAAATTCTACGTTTAAGATAATGAGTTTGGTAAAAGTGTGCATCGAAAGACAATCTAGATAAACATTTTAGGTAAAATTTTATTTTTAAGATGACTCATCTAATCTTTTGTTTTGATCTGATCACTAAAATTACCGTTAAAGAAACCAATGCATCAATGACAGAACTAATAATAAAAATAAATTCAAGGATGGATCTAATTTTTACAATTTTCCACCTGAGCTTGGTAAAATGAAATGTGTACTTGGAAGAGAATTTTGGTGATTACTGATTCTGCTCTCCCTCTGGAGAAAATGGCTCGTCAACGCTATAGAGTTTTGACTTTGAATCTGTAATGGTGCTATTTGGCACGTCCAGAGGTAACCTTCAGATGATTACTATTAAAAAAGTAGTCCCCGGCAGTCTCTCCTGCTCTCATTTACTCCATGCCCATGAAGAGTGAATTTTAGTATTATTACTATCATACATCTGCCTCGGGAAGCTCCCACCACATGACTTTCGATGGGCATGAGCTATTGGCTAAAACTTGTAGCCGTTCAAAATAGAGTAAACACGTTTGGTATAGATTAACTGGGGAAACGAGGCAACAGGAAGAAACAATCCCAACCGAGACAGGCGATGTGATCTTCTGCTCGCCTTTGACATATTTCCCCCGGCACTGCATACGACGGTTCGTCACGAGTCCAAGGCATCCATAAGTGTGGAGGAACCTTCACGCGTGATCATCAGAAATATGTCAGTCGCGGCATCCTTTCACTACCGCAGGAAGATACCACAGCTTCGGTTCGGAAAGGAATCGGCGGATGAGCCACTTGTATTATGGCCCTTGGATACGTCGATAATCATGCTAAAAAAATCTCAATAGATAGTATGTTGTGATTAAAATTACAATAGACGTAGAAGTCATGTTAATTTTATGATAATCATATTATAAATTGACATAAAAAGCAAAAAAATCACAATATGACCAATGAGGAGAATATCTGAAGAGGATGAGAGCTTGATGAGTCAGTGAGGACAAACGCAAACCACTATATCTACAGTTGTATTTCTAATTTGACCAGGTTTGGAAGTAGACCTGGTCTAGAGATCAATTTAAGGCATCACAATTTACGAGAATGATAGCAGAAAGACTCAAAGACAAATCCCTCATTAATGGCGATCATATATAGTTTAGAGAAATGTTGTACACGTACTAGAAAGTATTTTTAACCTTCAGCTACTCTTTAAATGGCTGTAGTTAGATTTTAAAAAGTACACCCCTTAACTGAATCATTTCGATGTTTATAAAATATTGATTTATTATTTTAATTATCAATTATATCTTAATAATATCTCTCCACACCTCTCAAATATCTGCAAAAATCATCAAATATTTGAAGCCTGCTTGAAAAATAAAAAACAATAGGGGTTGCAATGTTTTATAAATGAATCATGAATACAAAAATAGTAATCAATAGAGAATGTCAAATAATGCACAAAGGTATTCTATTTTGGTTAATCTTGGATCCATTTCACTCTTGTGGCACTATAGAATTCTAAGTTGAACAAATAAATTACCTCACTTGAAGTGTTGACTAAACTAATTTTAAAAAATTAATTTATCTGAATTTTTGACTTTGAATCTGCTATGGTGCCGGATAAGTCTTCATTATCATGAGTTAATAATTAATAAATAATATAGTTTTAGTCTTAAATTATGATAAATAAACTTATATTTGTGTTAAAGTGTGAAAAGTAGTTTTCAGTTGATTAGCGTGAATTTTTGAGTAATTATGTGATTTTATATGATTTTTATAATCTTACTTTTAAGATAAATGAAGAACAAGAAATACAAATAAAAAAATTGTAAAATGGGGGGACCCGTCAGCTAGTCGGGCTCGCAAGTGGGTCGGAAGTGCAGTTGGGGAGTAGCCACGAGTAGGGACTTGAGCAGCTTGAACTGATGGGGGCACATGTGTGCCACTCCCTTCCACATCACTACTGGCCAGCCGACTGTGGGGCAAAGAGTGGTTGTATATGCGCGAGAAAGGGACTTTGCTTAGGAATGTAACATTACTATATATTTGCTGAAAAAATTGATGCACAACTGATGTGGGACTAAACCTGTCACCTTCCTCAGAAGAGACAGGGGCAACCGACAGGGGTTCGAATCCTCCTAAAGCCAAAACTCATATTTTTATATAATTATCACGACTTTTCTGTAGATCATTAGTGGAGGATTAAGCAACTAAAATCGGTGGATCATCGGCGAAAATCTTGTCAACACGATTTGCGAAGCATTATTACTCAAATTGCTGAAGGATTCGCGATAAAAGGATCGTAAATCCATCGAGTAAAGGATCTTCGATTGATTGACGAACAAGCCGTTTTTGAGAAGAGGACGATCTGTCAGGAGATGAGTCACCACCTTTGAGAGCGTACCAGATGCGATGAACAGCCTCCTCTTGTTGCACAAATCTGAGGATGAAGCTCCCTGACATGCGCCCCACCTCCACCAGCTCTTCTCCGTTGTGTGACAACTGTCGGAGAGCCGTAAAGTCACTGTTTTTCTACTCCGTCGAGTGATAGCCGCCAGAGACGATTTGACGACCCATTTCATTAATCTCTAGAGTTCGCAAGGAGATCTAGAGATTGCCCACATCATCTTTGCCCATGGACAGCCTTCAAGGCCATGGACACTACACAATGATCCTCCCAAATGCTCAAGATTCTAGTGCATCACCGACGTATCGCCGTCGCGATGTTGGAACTTTGTTTTCCTACTTTCAACTTACTTTATGCTTCATTTAGTGATAATTTTTGTGATTTTAATTTATCAAAATATACTTTATTTTATTACGATTCTTCTAGCTTTTACAGATCTTAATTTGATTAATTAAATCATTTGTAATCACTTATGTAAGAATCACGAGGTGGAACTCTGTTTCTGCTCGATTCGTGTTCGCACGATGCTGACATCATCCTGACATCTACACCCTTATTTTCCTTTTTTGTAAATTTTAAATATATTTCTTTTTTATTTCCTAGTATAAAATCCATAGAAAATCATATTTATTGAGAAAATTTCTAAATAATTACCAGATATTATATTACATCCTTGTAATTGACCTAGAAAATTATCACTATTTTTGGATATTTTATTGAATTTTAATTGATATATTTATTTAAAAATACTTCTAAATATTTGAAAAATTATATTTTCTAGTTTTATAAATTTTAGATTTGCACAATTTAATATACAATGACTAAGTTATGTTAGTGCCATTTGACACAACCAAAGGTAACCTTCAGATGATTACCATTAAAAGCGGTCCTTATCCATCTCTCCTACACTCATTTACTATATGCCCATTAGGAGTGAATTTTAGTATTATTGCTGTCATACATCGCCTTAAGAAGCTCCTACCATGTGACTTTTGATGGGCATGAGCTATTGGCTAAAACTTGTAGCTATTCAAATAGAGTAAACATGGCTGGGATATATTAACTCAAGAAATGAGGCAACAAAAAGAAACAATACCAACTATAGATAGGCGATGTGATCTTCTTCCTGCATTTTGACATATTTCTTGTGGCACTACAAATGAGGTTTCGTCTCACCAAGTCCAAGGCATCCATAAGTGTGGAGGAACCTTTGCATGTGATCATCAAAAATATGTCAGTTGTAGCATGATAACATCAAAATTCTACATGTTAAGTATGACATAATTTCGACAATTAATATTTAAATTGATAAGAAATGACATTTAATTATACATAAAATAAGTGAACCATAATGCATGATCAATATTATAAATACATGTTTAATTTTATGAATTTTTCATATTTTCTATAGCATGTATATTTATTTATTTATATGTCTTGCTTAAATAATAATTATAAAAAAAATCATTTGTTGGCTAAATTATGATTTAAATAATTTATCATTTTTAATATGTTCAAAGTATTTTTCTTAATTTTTAAACATGTTTTCGGGTTTTTGTGAGTATCCTAGGAGTTATTTCGAGTTTAAATGAATATTTTGAAAGGTTTTCTATTTTTCAGAATTTTCTATTAAATCAGAATTAATTTCAGTACTTTGACTAATGAATATTTTAAATTAAGTCAACTCATGTATAAATGAGTCTAGATTTATCATGTTGATTTCCCTCTTATGGCTAATTTATTATATTTATTAGTTTAAAGGGTAATCGGCTTTATTTTAATATTATGCTTGAGGTCATATTAGGCCTATGGGTCAGCTGGACAGCCTACAATAATTAGAGAGGAGGCCTAACAAGGAGCTATTTTCCTTCCCCTTGAGTTAAGAAAACCATCCACTTAAGGTGGTGATTAATTTCTTTCTTAATTAAAGGGAGGGGTATGCGGCAACATCTGATCAGCTGCACCCTTTTTCCTCATTAAACAACCCTTGGGACTATCTCAGCC